TTATTATATACATAATATTAGCTATATTGTTTTTGTTGTCATTGTTATTATTATTGCCCATAAAAATAGAGTTACCCTTTTTTTTTTTTTTTTTTGAGATGGGGGTTTTACTCTGGTTGCCCAGGCTGGAGTGCACTGGCATGATCTTGCCTCACTGCAGCCTCCACCTCCTGTATTAAAGTGATTCTCCTGCCTCAGCTTTCTAAGTAGCTGGGACTACAGGCATGGGCCACCACGCCTGGCTATTTTTTTTGTATTTTTAATAGAGACAGGGTTTTGTCATGTTGGCCAGGCTGGTCTGAAACGCCTGAGCTCAGGTGATCCACTCACCTCAGCCTCCCAGAGTACTAAGATTACATGCTTGAGCCACCACGCTCAGCCAAGTTACCCTTTATTGTGGTCCTACAAAATCGTAGGCACTATGCTGGGAAACTTATTTTTTTAAAACTATCTTTAGGATTTTTCAGGATTTGTGGAAATGATCCACCCAGGTACTCTCTCTATATATGTGGTGGCTTGTTCCTTTTATAGAAAGTAGCTGGACACCTGCCTGTGTTTCTCTGTATCTGGAGAGTCCTGCTAGGAGTATACACTGGGAAAGAGTGTCGTCTTATTTCCCAAGTCTGTTTTGCTTTGACCTCCCCACCCAGACTCCTAGGAAGCAATGGTTTATTCAGGGCCACAGAAAAATCACTGTTGGAATGTAGGCAGGTCCTGCACTAACTCTGGAGCTCTTTGGAGTGTGATATATTTCTTGAAATAGCTAGCATATATCCTTGTAGAATAACTGGAAAAGAGACATTTTCTAAGAAATGTTTTACCTTTACTTGTGAATTGGTGCTGGATACCATCTAAAATTAACTTTTACTGTTTTCACAATATTACGTGTATATATATATATATATATATATTTAAATATATATAATCTCAAAATAGGATACCCTTGGTATCAATTTTGGGGAAAATGATAAAAATTTTAATAAAAATAACTTGACTGATCTTTACCTATATTTTTAGAATTATTGTTCCTGAATTTATTTCCAGATATACTAAGGAATTCAGATAGTCTTATGAAATTTGACTTCAGTTCATGGTAATACTGATTGTACCTAATGCTCAAGGGTGGACCTTTGGGGATTATGCATGTTGATTCTAGGTGGAATCTACCTTGCACTTAAGCAAAGTCCCAGGCTTTAAAAATTTGGCTAAGTATGGTGTGTGCCTATAGTCTCAGCTACTTGGGAGGCTGAGGCAGGATAATTCCTTTAACCTGGGAGGCAGAGGTTGCAGTGAGCCGAGATCGTGCCACTGCACTCCAGCCTGGTGCCTGGTGACAGAGCAAGACTCTGTCTCAAAAAAAAAAAAAAAAAAAAATTGGCTAAATAAATAAGGTTGGAAAAGATTTGCCTTCATAACATTTTGTGTGAAGGGTGTTGGAGTATTAGTTTATGGGAAAGTCAGTGTAAACATAGTTGTGCACAGCCCAGAGCAAAGCAGGTGATAGTGGCACAGTACTTCGCATTAGAACACTTCTGTAGAAGTGCGTTTATTCCTGGATGCTGTATTTAAGTAGAAAATCGATTTATTTGACCATGTGTAGAGCATGGTGACCAACATGGGGAAGGCTGGAAAGAGGAAGAAGGCAGAATCCTTGTCCAGGAGAGGCTCGTAGTTTAGATGAAGATGGGAGTATAAAGAAAGGAGACAGGGATGCTTGGCTCGAAAAAGAAAGAAAGAGGAGGGACCATCATTGCTGTTTTCAAATATTTGCAGGATAAGCAGACTTTCCTGGGAGCAAAGGCAATTTGTTGGAACAACACACTTGGCTGAGGTCCAAGGCTAAGAGCTTACAAAATCTTTGGCTTACAAACTCTCGTTTATAGTTTTGTCATTTATACAGCTGCCCTCCCTATAGACTCTTAAGAAGACGCCAGTACACCTGAGTCCTAAAGAGAGAGTACTAGTGAGGGGTAGACTGCTCACTGGATACCGCCTATGATCACTTCCAGGGTCCTCCTTCTGCCTGCCAGCACCACGAGGTTCCTATTCACTTGCTCATAGCATCAAACATCTGCTCCCCTCATCATGACCACCTGGCCAGGAAATAAGGAAACACCTGGCATACTACTGTAGTGCTTCTTAAACATAGATGTTAATGAACATGAATCATCTGAGAGTTTTATTGAAATGCAGATTCTGCTGTAGTAGATCTTGGGGTTATCCCAATAATCTGAATTTCCACAGGTGATGCGGCTATTGGTGGTCTGTAGGCCACACTGAGTCACAAGGTTCTACTACAGAACATGAGTCTTTCCTCCAGGCTACAGCCGAGTCCCATCGGGCCAAATGACTTCCTGCTCAGAGTTGACTCGTCTTTATTTGTAGAGCATTACAGCCTGGAAATATTGCCTTATTTTCCTCCCAGCCCTCATGAAAGAATTTTATCCAGATGTCTCTTAGCCATCCAGTGTTTTTATTATCCCCAAGGCCGCTTCAGCAGTTATCTGACATGTTTTTTTCAAAAATATATCATCTTGATTTTCATCCAAGTTGCGTGAGATGCAGCAGTTTTTGAATATGTGCAGGATGCGGCCAGAAACTTTAGTCTAAGATGCAAGTATCATTTGCCTGACATTAGGACAGACTTCTTTTCTCATAGCTATATATTTGTGATTACCCCCAGGTAACCACTGACTCCAGTGCTTTATAAAGTGATCTTTAGAGGTCTGTTTATAATACATCGAACACTTGCTCAATGAGGCCACAACCCCAAGCATAATGATGAAATCTAGTTAAATGTATTTGCCTCCCTGTTTAATAATTCCATCAGGTGACTTCTATGAGTATTTCTAATTGTCGTTGATTGAAGCCCTTTCAAGGTCATGTCGCTTCACCCAGTAGTTGCTTATTGGTCAAAATAAAGTAGTTGAGAGATTTCTCGTGATGTGTGAATCCTGGTAAGATCTCAAATATAAGTTCATGCTGTGTTTCTATACAGGTGCTGAATAGTCTTGGGCAAGATACTCAATATCTTTGATCATCTATAAAATAGGGACAATGATATCTACCTTAAAGAAATTAAAAAGATGATATCTATGAAAGCACTTGCCATATTCCTGGCACATGGAAATCATTTATTAAATGACTTTTATTGCCTCCTCATTTGTTCCTTTTAGGCCACTTTCTACCTTTTTTTGGGGGGAGGGACATATTTTACTTCCTTCTTCACTAGTCACAAAGTACCTTCAGAAGTGGGATATATATTTTAAACCACTTTTTAGCTTTTCATTATGTGTTCAGTAAAGTCATGTTGAATGAATTAATGAATGGCCAATAGTCTGTAATGTCTTCTTGACCTCTAAGTTCTCTGTTTGATTCTTCAATGTTCTAACTACTTAGAAAAAATTGGAAAATTCCGTTAAAATTAATGCCTTCTTTGTTTAAAGCATTTCCTTCTGTGTAGTTTTATAAAGTATGAATTACATAAATTATTACTAATAAGTATGAACCTGGGCCCTGAAGCTGGCCACTATGGTAAAAATAGCCTCTTTTAGTTTATGACCTTGGGCATGCTTCTTTGTACTGGTGCAAATGAGGTAGGTCAGAGGCTGGTCTTGACTGTGCTTGCCCTTCACTGTTTACTTTGGAAAGATCTCTTGTGAAAAATAAGCAAGAAATATGTATTTGTTCTTTGGCATGAGTTTTGGGATTCAGGCACAATAGAGGCTGAGTTTCATGGCATATTCATTTTAGTTCTCGAAGAAGATGCATTTTGTCTTTTAGATTAAATACAGTCTGGCTAGTGGGGTTAGCCAGCTCAGTGGATTAGAATAGAAGCAGCAGGTCCTTCCAAATCTAGGGATTAAGCCTAGTTACCTGTCTAGGCAAGTAGCTCTGGAGTTGCCTATATGAATGTGTTGTTGGAGTTATCCATGGGGACTAGCAGTGCCTGGTGAGGCTGTCCTCATGACTTTGTCATCATGCCTCTGGGACGGGCAAAAACTGGCAGAAAGTGAACACACTGTCAAATTTAGTTTGAAGTTTAAATCTGGCTTGGGTATGTTTAATCCTTAATCTCAGTTTTTAAGTTTTCTAAAAAGGATGATATTACCAGTCTTATAGGTTTTTTGAATGATAAATTAGTACATGTGAAATACCTAGTGCAAAACTTGGGAGAGAGATCAGGCCCAATGTTGATGACAATGACACATTTCAGAAGAGAGGCATAGGAAACAAAATAGTTCTGGCACCCGTGAAAGTACCAGCCCTCTTGTGTGCCTGAGGAGTGTCCCAAAGTTGCTTGTAGCATTTTATGACTGAAGTGCAGACCACGGTGCTAAAGCTAAGAATTTCTTATGGGTCTGAAAAACAGGATAATAATGTTAGAAAAGAAAAAACTCAATTGCATATTTTATTCTCCGATAATTTGAAATACTGATTCTTATGTGACTAGCTTCAGCCTTTTCTCCTCTACTCATTATCTAGGAATTGTTATTCAATTATATCTTTTTGTTTAGGGAGAAGAAAAAAAATTAGACTAACCTTTTCATTCTGACCATGTATTTCAATCCCTGATGTCCAACATGACTTCTATTTCCCTTTAATTCTTGAAAAAGTAAAGATAATAGATCTAAAAATAACCATCAATAGATCCATTCCACATGAATGGCGTTTTTTTTAGACGATGGAAAGAGGGTTCTGATTTGTAGTTTTAAGTATTTAAGAAACACTGCACTGAGTGTTGCTAATTAGCTGTGGCTTGTTACCTCACAGTGGATCAATTGATCTCTATTTCAGAGGCTCAGAATGTCACCATGAGGGCTCTCAGACAATAGATGCATTGGGTTCCATACAGTGAATTGATTTCAGGTCTTAGCTCTTTGTGTCATGTTTAGCTAACTTTAGATTGTAAGAGACCTGGTAGTAAGGGCTTGAGGGATTGATGATGGCTGTGATATACAGAACTAAAGTGAAACAAATGTTTGTTCCTTTACATACAGCTATTTTGAACTGGAGAGCAGTGGCCTGAGGGATGAGATTCGGTATCACTATATGCACAATGGGAAGCCAAGGACAGAAGCACTTCCGTACCGGATGGCAGATGGACGATGGCACAAGGTTGCCCTGTCAGTTAGCGCCTCTCATCTCCTGCTCCATGTCGACTGTAACAGGTATTTCTTTGTCTTTGATCATTGCTAATTCTGCCCTTGAAATCAAGCAATGCAAAGGGGAAAAAATATCAAATTCCTTCCAGACTTGCCAGGAAACAAACACCAAGGGACTCTAATTGTAATTTAACCTACCAAATGGGACATTAGGCATGCTGAAATGACCAACTGTAATATGATAAGAAAACAGTTCATTAAGATGAAAATGTGTCCTGTGATTAGGAGCAAATGTACAAAAGGTTGATTGCAGATTGGGGAATAGTAAGTGCACCTCGGTGTGCTCCAGGCACTGGCTGGAATTCCATGGAGCTGTAATCACAGTTAACAGTGATATATTGTTGTTGAGTTCGTTCCACTTGGAAGCGAATAAGCTCAGCTACCTTAGAATGAACCTGAGAAGCCTTTGCTACTGAAGCAGCTGATTCTATTTCACTTCATCAAGTGTTCCTTTGCTTAAATATCTTTTCCAAATGGAGGCTTCTTAAAGAGGCTATTCTTCGAGCCTTTTGGAATTGATGCTGTCTATTTCCTTCAGAGGAATGAGCCTTTGAGCTTGTCAGGGGATGGTGGGACTATTTATGAGGTCTGCAGGGTTTCACAGGAGGTTTAGGGTTGGGTGGGATGGAAATGTTGTCTCTCATGGCTGTCACTGGAGCCGAGCTCAATGAAAGTTGAAGAGCGAGAAAGACCATTGGTTTCTATTGGATTATTTATGGGTGGACAGCTGGATAATGATGTTCAAGGGAAAAGTTTTGATCTCTCCAGAACCCACTGAAAATCCTTATGAATAGTGACCTTAGTCCAATTACAGAGACTTTTTTTTTGCATTCTGAGCAGTGCCCATGTATTATGGATACTCAATGATGCCATCCAAGTTAAAATGACTTTTCAGCCATACAAGGCTTGCTCCCTTGAGCCCAGAATAAAGAACAGGCATATTGGGGATAGCCTCCCTTCCAAAAACCATCAAGAGGAGAGATATTCCAAGGTCAGTCAGCTTTACTGCACATTTCTCATGAGGAGATGTTTAAATGTGCTTGTCACTCTGGCTCTGCAGTCTCTTTTAGAAGACTTGGAAGGGCAGGAAACTAGTGTCAGGCTCAAGGGAAGGTTTGCCATCTTGAGGTGAGTCTTGGTCCATTTTGATATGAGCTATTTCAGGTGCTTTTTACACTTCTGAAGAATTGTGGTTTCAACCAGATATAATAAGTATGTCTGGACAGAGTTTCCATAGAAATCACTAGCTCCTTTGTACCCTGCAGACCAGGGCTGGGCAGCCTGGATAAAGCCAATGCTTAGCTGCTACATCCATTTTCACTTTCAAGAGCTGATTGGCCCCTTCAGTTCCCTAGAATTAAAGTGGCCTGTCAGGTAACACTCCTATGACCCACCGTGACCTACCACCCACGTGCTGTCCAAATGGGATTGCAGAGGAAGAGCACTGCTTGTCCTCCTAAGCCACAGGACAGAAAGAGGCTGCAGACCCTGGTTTAGTAATTTCCAACTTAATAGTCCTGGAGATACTGCTGTTTCCTTGCTATGCAGTTTTTTGTTTCTTCCTTCCAAAAGTTTTACTTTGTTTCCCGACATTCTTCTCTCTAGAGAAATTCTTAGGTGGTGCTTGGCCCTTAGTGCTCAGTCCACATTTGTGGTGGTTGCTGTTATTTACTTTGCATATCAATGGCACCTCTTTGACCCTGCCTTCAAACTTTCATATGCCGTTGGTTCTTCATGGCAACCATGACCTCCCTACCAGGAGAATGAGAAGAGGTTGGGAGATCTGTAGTTCACTGTATTCTTCAGAGTCATTCCCATTTAGAAAGAATCGACTGAGGGTATTCTAAATATTCCTTGTGTTTTCCTAATATTTTTTGTACTTTGGCTTTTGGGATAACATGTCCCTTATGTAAGATCTTGGAGGGAAAACTTAGGAAGTTGCTGCTAGTTAATGATTCGTAGACTCCAAACACAAATACGTTTTTCAGGTGGGTCAGGAGAAAAAATGGTCCCAAAAGACTGGGTCATAAGAAAAGTGAATTTTGATTTTCATGTAGGAAAAGTCTAGAAACATCGTTCCCAAATCTGACTATACATAAGAATTATCTGGGGAACATATTGAAAAAATGGATAACCAGGCTCTGCCTCTGACCTACTGGATCAGATTTCCTGAGGGTGGAACCCTGGGAGGCAATATTTTTAACAAGCACTCCATATAGGTTCCATGCAGGCAGTCTAGCCTTTGTGCATGAACTGGTATTTCAATACCACTGGCTTAGAATAAGGAGGAGGAATTTGATGGAGAGGTTGGGCTACAACAAATAAAGAAAGTCTTGGAAGACCAGTTACCTGAAGCATGGTAAAGAGGAGAAAAGGTTTAAGGAGAAGGTAGTGCCTAATGCACAAAACAAACCTTACCTTCTTCACAAGTTTCTTCCCAGCCACAACTTGCCACCTTTATGGTAGCAGAAGCTCTGTCCCATATATCAAGATGCTGGTTCTACCACTTTTAGTATCAGCCAGCCTCACAGAGAGTGAATTTCAGCTATGCATTTGATACCACCTTGTGATTCTTATTTTTTTTTTTATCCCTGTCACCCTTATTTTTCTCAACGTCTCACCGAATAGTGTCCTGCTGATTAGAGATTGAAAGGAGATGGTGTTAGATAACATTTGAGTGTTAACTATGCTAGGCACAGTGCTGTGTACTTTACATAGATTAACTTATTCCACATTCATTCTATTAGTTCTTCCTCTTTTTAAGATGAGGAAACTGAGGTTATATAGTTGTCTGCAATCCTGCTACTGATAAATGGCAGCACTAGGATTTGAACCCGTCTGACCTACGAGTGTCTGCATCTAGCTACTAGTAGGCTATTTAGCCCAACAGTGGGGACCATTGACATCATATTTGGAACATGAGGGAAGGCCAAGATTCAATGTGAGCAGATTGTTCCTTTCTAGTATTTCCCCCTCACATGTCTTATATTGCTAATCCTGGGAGATGCTTGGAAAGATGTGGAGTCTAATTGAGGGAACCCTTTACATTGGTGCTGGAGAAGGGATCTACATTGATTTAGCCTCTCCTGTAGGCCAGGTAATGTGCTAGGAATAGTATACTACTCCTAAAATGGTATGCTGTCCCTAAAATGGGACAGTTTTACTAGGCCCATTTTTCAGATTTGGAAATAGAAAGGCTCAAGATAAATAACTAGTTGTCAATCACATAATATAATAAGCATATAACCAAAACTTTGAGCTGGAATCTACCTTCCAAACCTTAGTCTTACCCATGCTCCAGGTCACCTCTATAGTGTGCTCATGACATATACTGCCAAAGACAAGGCCACAACCACACCAGGGAGTCTTCCCAAGGGAGAGATACCACGGAAGGTTCAGGGACCATGGAAACATCTAAAGTCAGGAAGAGAAGATTTCCCAGATAATTTCATTGCTCTGAGAAATATTAATGTGGCAAGATTTTGCACATTATTATTTTAGGTCAGAATTGAGAGACAGAGTTTTTTCAGACCTAATTGCGCAAATTGTCGTGAGAAAAGAAACTGCTTTTTTAGTTGGTAGTTTAACACTTTCTGCTTGCTGCAGAGGCACTTTTCTCCTTGTTTCAGCTGTTTAGCTGGGCCTAGTTAGAAGCCCCTGATGTGTTGGTAGCAGATTCCCTCAAGCTAGAAACATAAAAGGAACCATTCAGTTGGGTGGGCAGACTGATTATCTCCATTGCCTTGGGTTTTTCTCTGGCTGCCTTTTATATTCAGTGTTGTCAACAAAGCCTAGAATGAAACCTGAACAAACCTTCATTAGATTCACCCTCTCCCTTCTCAGTTCACTTTACAGCCTGTCTCCATTACTCAAAGGACAGAATCTACCGACATATGGGATTCAGTTCATAAGTAACCTTTTTAATTCACAAGAAAATGAATTTAATTTCCTTCTCTTTATTTGTAGCTTTTAATTTTCATTCAGCCCATCAGATTAATTTATGGGTCACACTATCTCTGCCAGGCTTTGCAGGATACAAGGAAATAAGAGTCCTTGCCATCAGGAGGTTTATGGCTTCTTCATTTAGTCATTTTAAATTCATTCTGAAACCACCAGGTTCCCTCACAGTGATTGGGCCTAGTCCCTGGATATCGGAATCAGAGGATGCCTGGATGCAGATAGGAGCCCTGTAAGCAGCTGATTTGATAACTCACAATGGCAACTGAACAGTGGAAAGAACTGGAAACAGTGAATCCCAGCATCTGGGTCTTGAAGTGACAGTGGAGCTGAGCTCTTCAGCAGCTCAGGAATGGATGGCTTTTAATTCACTCAGCCTTTGTCCAGCCCTTTTTGTAATATGCAGGTGTCCCTAGCATGTGTTAACCTCCTCATGCCTCACTGCTGGAAAAAGTCAGCTCTTAAGTGCAGTCTATCACATTTCAACCTAGCTCTGAACTCTCATCTTATTTGCTCTGACTTGTTCAACTGTGTATGGCACATAGACACACATCTGCAGCCTGATCGTCACCTTGACAGGGAGTTAACAAGTGATTATAGTCTAGACTAGACTAAACATATTTGGCTTTTACTTTTAATACATGCTATTTATTATCCACAGAGCATATCTAATTTTTGCATACAACCGATCTTGAAAAGCATGCAGATGGCCGGGCACGGTGGCTCAAGCCTGTAATCCCAGCACTTTGGGAGGCCGAGGCGGGTGGATCACGAGGTCAAGAGATCGAGGCCATCCTGGTCAACATGGTGAAACCCCGTCTCTACTAAAAATACAAAAAAAAAAAAAAACATTAGCTGGGCATGGTGGCGCGTGCCTGTAATCCCAGCTTCTCAGGAGGTTGAGGCAGGAGAATTGCCTGAACCCAGGAGGTGGAGGTTGCAGTGAGCCGAGATCACGCCATTGCACTCCAGCCTGGGTAACAAGAGCGAAACTCCGTCTCAAAAAAAAAAAAAAAGCATGCAGAATCCAAAACTAAACTTGCCACAAA